TTTTGGGTCCAATGGGTCTAGCCCATTTTGCCCATAATCTCTCCCTCTAAAACACTTGGGTACCCCTTGGGGCACACCCCAAGTATCTCACCCTAAGCTTTATAAACCCTTTCAAAACCTCCCACCAAATCAATGTGGGACAAGCCAATTTACAACCTTAAGGAATTTCCACCAAAACTCCATTTCCATGGAGCACACTTTGGCTTCAATTTCCCATTCACTCGGTAATGGTTTTGAGCAACCAAATATACCACGTGAATCATAACGCGGCATAGAACGCGTTACCACTTTGACCCGAGTAAATCGACACTCGGGGCCCACCTAAAAAATAGACCAAACTTGAGGAAAAATAACCATTTCCAACAGGGGCAACTTGCTCCATAGTGAGACACGTGTCAGCAGAGAAGTAGCAGGGCCAGTAGCATAAAGGCTGGGAATTCGAAGGAAAAATGCATCAATCAAACTTACAACCCATGTGGAATTAGGAGTAATTTAACGTAGTTAGCAATAGCTTCTGTATTTAGGAGTAGTCTGTTTATATTTCAACCTTTTTGGCCAAATTTTCCTCTATCGATTGTCATGCACATTGAACTTGTAATTTAATTTTTGTAGTTAAGTGACAAGTTTACTTGTTCTTCAATCAATTTTCAATTTTTTCACATTTGTTTCTTCGCATTATAATTTCCAAAGAAATCCTTGAATTTGTCAAGGCATAGGACACTAACCATAATTGCTTGATCTGTTATTTGTTTGTGAAATTTTGGTTGTTCTGTCGAATCACTTCTGTCAACCAGATTTTTGCTAACAATGTCTTGATTTAAATAAGAAGTTATTATGGCTTGTCTATAGTTTCTCCCAAGTTGTTATATGTCTATGATTTGTCTAAAGTTTACACATTAACGAGACCCATAAAATAATTAAGCGGTAATGTTGGTTTAACATTCAACTAAATCTTAACATTTGTCTTAACTGTTAAAAATAACTTGTTAATATACTATTTCATTTTATATTTGAAAAGAAATAACCCTTTACTTTATGAGCTCAGTACCAGAAAGTAGGGCAGAAAAGAGGAAATTGAACAACAAGATTTCTTTAATTTGAAATGCAACAACAAGATTTCAAATGGAAATTAGTTGGCAAATGGCATGGAACAGGTGAATGGAAAGTTGAAAATCTGTTAATACTGCTTGGCCTTTCTTTATGCTTTTTGCTTTTAAGGGTGTCCAATGGAATCAAGATCCTCTCCTAAAGTTTTTTCATTGACTCCTTACTTGTTATGTTATTGGGCCTACTTTTGGGTCCAATATCGATGATTCGAACCGTTCAAATTTTAAGATTTATTGAGTATATCATATCTGTAAAAAATTAAGTTGTTCGAATATTAAAAACTACGTGTTCGGATCATCAAACTAAAAACTATTTTTTTTTTAATTTAATAAACAGTTTTCTAAACACATGCTTTCTGATATCCGATCAAAGTATTTTTTTACAGGTATGATATACTCAACAAATCTTAAAATGTGAATGTTTTAGATCATCAAAATTGAGTCCAAAAATGGATCCAATAACCTAGCAAGTAAGGAGTCAATGAGAGAACTGAAGGAGAGCCCAAAAAAATAAAAAATCTAATAATGGGGCTAGTTTGATGAAAAATTTTACAACGTACAAACACATAATCAAAAAACAAAAGTTACAAAGATTTATTTCACTTTTTGATAATCAATTTATTTTACTTATTTAAATCAGTCTAATCAATTATAAGGAGATGATAGGCCAAATACGATTCTCAAATTAAAAAATAGCAAGCAATCCCAATAAATTACACAAACTAAACTCAGTTTTTAGAATCGAAAAAGACAATGGTGTGAGTCTCATCGGTTATTTATGTTATGTGCATCATTTTTGTGCTGCCCGTTTTGCACAAAATAAATAAATAAAATCTCACAGAAATTTAAACAGACTTTCCATGGTGTGTTTTTTGATACATCACTTGCAAAGTCGTACACGGTCTCATAGTTTATGTGACATGCATGTTTGTGAATGTATGGGTAAATAAAAAAAACTAGGTTAATTATATTTTTGGTACTTAAAATATAAGTCTTATGCCATTTTAATTTTTAATATAAAAATTATGCCAATTTGATTCTCTGTGTATGAAAGTGTCGCAAATTGGTCATCAATGTTTAAATTGTATCAATCTGATTTCGAATATATAAAAAAATATTTCAATGTAATCATATATTCTAACTCCGATAATAGACATAATTTAAATATTAAATGACTAATATAAATATATATTCTTCCTACCAGCAAAATCTTGGTGATAATTAAATTAAATTAATTAACATTTCTTTGTAATACCAAGTCATTCAGGACGTGGTAGCAACAACGTGTAGGTAGCAATCTGCAATGGGTGTACCTTGGACGGCCATTGGGGTTGTCTTTTTGTGGGGTGTTGTGTTGTTGAACATATCAACAACACTTTTTAATGAATCATTTCCTATATCTCATACATCTATATATCACTCACTATTAATTATTTAATCAATCTCTCTCGTCAATTTCAATAATCCCCATTCCAACACAAACAAGGTTTAGCTCTTCTTCTGTCAGTTATCCCCAAGAGAAACCAATGACCTCTCACAAGGAGGGTGTCATGGTGGCCAGCAGGTTAACTAACTTGTCTAGAATTTATTGGTTGAAATCTAATTGATTTAAATCGTACGCCGAACAATTTTTTCAATTTTTTTTTTTTTGGTGGACTTTAATTTTTTTCTCAATTATCCTTGAACCTGTTTTAAATAAATGTAAAGAGTTTTTTTTGTAGAACAGTTTTATAAGTGAACTGTTATGTTAGATTAAAAATTCCACCTCTAGTATTTTGTTAAGTTGTTTATTTAAAGGGTCTTGCCAACAAATATTCCTTGGGACACAAAATAAAAAAAAAAAAAGATAAATAAAATAAAATAAAATAAAAAAGATAAAAGATATGTTAATCTTGAGACATCTATTACTAAATTCAATATATTTTTTTATGAATTTTAAAACACTTGATAATTCTTTTAAACTTTTGTAATATACTTTTTCTCAATTTCTTAATATTAACAAATGTTATGGAGTCACTTGTTAACATTTGTCTCATTTAAACTTTTTTCAAATTGTTTCGTCTCTTACGTTGTGTTTGGTTGGGAGATTTGGAGAAAGATTTGGAAAAGGAAAGGGAAAAGGTGTGTAAAACTATGTGAAATGTAGGCATGTTTTTTTCACATTTTACCTACCTTTTTCATTTCTCTTTTCAAATCTCTCCTCAAATCTCTCAACTAAACACAGCATTAGTGGAGCTCACATTCAGTAGCTCACATTGATGGTGCATGCTTAACTGTGAAGTTAGTTATTGTTTTTATTTTGAGTTTTAAAATGTCATAATTTTTCATTATACATGTTAATTTTTAATAAAATTTACATATCGAAACCATAAAACAACATCAATGTTTGAATGAAAATTCAGAAATTTCACAGTTTTATCTATAATTTTTTTTAATGAAAATTGAAAAAAAAAATCTCATTTTTTTTTGTTAACTGCAAAATTTCTTACTTTAAAATCTCCAAATTCCTCAATTATGAAAATTGATAAATTTCTCAATTTTTAATTAACTGCAATTTTTTTAAAGAGAAATGCAAGAGACCAACAACTTTTTTTTTTTTTTTTTTTTTTTTTTGATAAAGAGACCAACACCTTAGATATCTAAATTCACTCATAATAATGTGGTAATGGAGTTAAGTCATATAGGATTGAATTTATGACAAATCAAAAATTAACACCTAGCATGCCTTGTCATTGCTTGATCAAATTGGGGGAGGTTTTTTAATGATCACAAGCCTTTTCCATTTCTTAATTTTTGTGCTTGAGAAATGGCAAAATTTCATAGTGAAAGTGTGGAAAATTATGTAACTGAGAATTTTTTCATTTGTCAACAGTGAAATTTCTTAATTTTTTTTCAAAATTTTATATTGAATATGGATCAATTTGATAAATCTCCTTAAATAATTTTCAAAATTAAACATTTGTAAAAAACAGAGGTGTACAACTAAAATTTTAAAATTTTAAAATTTAGAATAAAAGTATAATTATCAAACAATTATTTCACTCGACAAACCAACGAGTAAAAAAAATCATCTTTAAGTATTTGCCAAACCTAGTTGTGGAAGGGCACCTGGGTGAGCCATCGCAGCAAAAAAAATCATCAAGTTGTGTGTTAGATTAATGGTGTTTTGTAATTTGTATATTTTATTTTTATTTCTCTAGACCCTGTAAACATATAACTCTTATGACAGACGAGTCCATGTTCATGCGTCCAAGTATAGTAAGACACATGCCTAATACACATAGACACATGCCTTAACTAGAGATTAGACATGGATCTTTCACTACAAGAAATTACAGTTTTAGCAACTACTTTTGGCGACACTATCAAATTTGCATAGCTAAAACATCCTTTTTGTTACGCAAAAATCATTTTTATCGTTAAAAAGGTTAACATTAGCGACGTGATCAACAAGTCGTTGCTAAAAAGTCAAATATGAATTAGGTGCCTAAAAAAAATGAGCAACATGAGGAAAGTTTTAGCGATGATCAATGAGTTTCAACGACAAAACAGTCCGTTGCTATTAGTATAAGGGTTACGGCGACGTAAATGGCACGTCAACATAGGTTTAATTCTTTAGCGACTAACGTGCTTTGGGATGCTGCAGGTTTTATAACTAAATAGCTGATGTATTTATATTTACTGAAATAGTAAAACTGTGTCGTTTTGGTACCAACCTTAAAACTGTATAAAAAAAAAAACAACAATGGTAGGTGGTCCGAAAAATCATGGCTCAAATGGCTCGAAACACTTAAAACGACGTCACTTTAGATGTAAAACGACATCGTTTTGACACATTCGAGCCACAAAAATTCGGGCCAACAAACATTTTCCATAAAAAAATCCCTTATGTTTTTTCTGTAAACGCCTCCATCTTTCCTCCATGTTCTCTGTCACAGTCACACCGGATGGTCTCTCTCACAATCGCTGCCACTAGTTCTCTGACCGGCGCTGCCATTGTTGTCGATTTACTCACTTTTGTAAGTTACTCTCCCTCACCACCATCGTTCTCTCTCTCAATTTCTAATCCTTAACTTATTTGAAAATAAGAGTTCCCCGTTGTTATCTGAAAAAATTTCGTCGATTCCCAAACTTTCAAAGGAAACCTCTTCTAATTATTCTTTCATTCTTTGATCATTAACAATTTAATAAGAAAGAGAAAGAAAACACGATGGGTTAGAGAGAGAGAGTCTGCCTTCTCTCTAGAAACTACCTCAGTTTCTAAGGTTTGTTCATTCAATATTTCATTGATGATGGCTAATTACTCATCTAATCTACACGACTTAGATACGATGGGTGATGAACTAGTGATTAAAGAAACTACTACACCTAAGTGGAGTTCGCACATCTTGAACGATAGTCTTTCGGATAGTGATTTGTTAATTTTGATGGACATCGCGAAGAGAAATGGGGGTAAGAAGCATTGTTCTGCATCTGATATCGAGATGGGTAGGAGCCCTAAGGCTTCGATTGGGGTTGAGTCTGAGATCCATAGTCCAAGTTCTTTTGTTGACGCTATGAGTGGTCTCTGCTCTGAGATTCGAGAGATGAATGTTATTCAGCTCCACATTAAAACAACAGGTATTTATTTTTCTCTCAAGATTTTTCTAGAGTTGTTATATAACATATATCGTGGTATTTGATAAATTTGAGTGATTGATTAATGCAACAGACTCATAAGGATTCTGATTGATTAATTGTTTGACCCTTTTCTCTAATGTGCTTTGGATGGTTTTGTGTAGGGCTGGGCATAGGGTCATCCGACCCGTCCAAACCGCCCTACCCGATCCGAACTGCACGCATGTGGGTGGTTTCGCAAACACATTAAAGTAGGGTGCGGTTTGGATTTTATATAAATTTCGGGTTGCGGGCGGTTTGCGGGTTTGAACCACACCCGCCCAACCCGCCCGCATTAAATTAATTTTTTTTTCCTCTTTCAAATCTAACCGTCCATCTCTTCTCTCACTCACCATCTCACTCACCTATACTATAACAAACAAAACAGAAGAAAAAAAAAACCCTAATAATCTAATCGGCTCCTCCCTCACTCTCTCTCAGTCTCATCTCACTGTCTCTCTTTCTCACTCTCTTCTCGTTTCTGCACACACCGATCACTCTCTTTCTCATCTCATCTCATCGCACCGATCATCATCGTACAGCCGATCTACTTCATTCGCAGGTGAACTCTCTCTCTTTCTCTCTCCCGATCGTTGATTTTTTGTGGATGAACAACAGAACTGATTTTTTTCATCTCCGATCTACTTCACAGGTGATCTCGCAGGTGATCTCTGATTTTTTTCATCATCGCACAGTTGATTTTTTTCATCGCCCAGCCGATCACTCTCTTTCTCATCTCATCGCACCGATCATCATCGCACAACCAATCTGCTTCATAGGTGAACTCTCTCTCTCAATCTCTGTCTCTCTCTCTCCCAATCGTTGATTTTTTGTGGATGAACAACAGAAATGATTTTTTTCATCTCCGACCTACTTCACAGGCTACTTCGCAGGTGATCTCTGATTTTTTTCATCATCGCACAACCGATTTTTTTTATCAAACAGCCGATCTACTTCACAGGTGATCTCTCATCTCTGATTTTTTGTGGACGAACAGATCTGATTTTTTGTGGACCAAAACAAATCTGATTCTTTTTGTGTGTTGTGGGTTTGTTTTCTGCAAAGCTTTGTTTTTTGTTTGAATAACTTTGAATTCCTATTTCAGCAGCAACGTGGTTGCCTATGTTTTGTTTGTATGTTTTTTAGCTTTATTTCCAGTTATTCCACCTTATAAGTTTCCAGATAAGGTTTATTTGATTTTACTCTTTTTTCTTAATAATTTGTTTTTTTAAGTGAGAAAGGCAATAATAAACATGATGTTTTGATGTTCAATTGCATTTCTAAAATGATTTTTTAATTTTTTATACTTGAACATTGTATTTGATAGTTTCTGTTTCCACTTCAATTTAATTTTGGTGTTATATTTCCCCATGGTGATATGCATTTCTACTATATTGAGATGCAATATATAGACATTTGTTTATTTCTTCATTTCTTACTAACTATAATTGAAGATTAAAGTCTATATTTTTTCAATTTGTTTGTGTAGGGTTCATCAACCAAATGCATGGAATTAGAATTGGAATTTGTGAAAGTTGAATTGGATGTGATTCATGAAGATGAAGTTTGATATCTTAGAAGTGTTTTAATTTTATTTCATGGGTTTGTATAAAGTTGAATTGGATGTGATTCATGAAGATGAAGTTTGATATCTTAGAAGTGTTTTAATTTTATTTCATGGGTTTGTATTGAATGAAGTTTAAGTTTGACAATAATTTTTTTTTTTAATTGCGTTTTGGTTTTGGATGAATGTAACTTAATGATTGTTTTTTTTTTTTTTTTTTTTGGATGAATGTAACCTAATGAATTTTTATTTTTTTTTGCATTTTGGATGAATTTAAGTTAATGAAGAATTACTCTTCTTTTTTTTTTCTTTTTTTTTGGGTTAGGAATGATGAATGTTGAATTTTTAATGTAGGATTTTCTTATTTGGATTATGAATGATGAATGTAGGATATGATGAATGCAAGTTAATGATAGAATGTAGATTTTGAATGATTTGTTTAGGTTACGAATTGAATTTGTTGTGTTTTTTATTTTGTAAGTTTTTTTATAAGTTTTAGTTCATTAATTATTAATGTTGGAGTATTTTAGAAAATCTGAGAAAAAAGGTCCAAAATAAAGATTGACAAAATGGGAGAAAAAAAAAGGTTTAAAAATAATTTTTTGAAAAAAAAGTTCAATCCGCAAACCGCCCGCACACCCGCGAACCCTATCCGCACAAACCGCAAACCACATTGCGGGCGGTTGCGGGTTGATTTTTCCCCAAACCACATAGATGCGGGCGGGTCCAAACCGAACCGCAAATCGTCCTAAACCGAACTGCGGACACCCCTAGTTTTGTAGATCTTGTTGGCTATCAGGCATAGTTTATGGGTTTTGTTGACTTTGGTTGTGTATATATGTAGATGAATTGTGTTAATTTTTTGTTTGTACATATATATTCTTGGGAAATTCTTGAATACATACCCCATTTTGAGGTATTACATTCAAGATATGATATTTTGTGGTGTCAATATTATTTTGATAGTTTGATTTTGGTCAGGCATAGAGAATTGAAAGAATCTCACATTAGAAAAGTACATCAGGAAGATGGATTTGTTACTTCAAAACTATTTCGTGTTGACAGAGAAAAATTAACGCATGTAATTATTGTGAAGAACAAAACTAACAATTTTTTGCAGCTAATCAAAGACCTGCCCAAGGCATTGAGCTTTACTTTTACAGGCCAGTTTGTTAGAAAGAGTTTGATCTGTAGGGTATGTCTGATGTGCGTCACAATCATATTAAGATTGATCACACAACCACATTCGTGGGGTAATTTGAAATTTCTTTTCTTTTCATATTTTCTGAAGAAGAAAAAGAAAAGACGTGGATGGGAAGGAGTGGTCAAAACAATGGTTTTCCTACTAAGGAAAAATGTATGGCAGTGATACCATCACATCATTATTTTTGATCTATTAAGCTTACAGGGCACTGAACAGGATAAGATATATACAATTAGCAATGGAGTTTATAAATCTATGATATATATCCACCGATAAGCACTTGAATCCATTGAAATGATTAAAGGAAAGTAGAAACCAAATGCACAAAGATTAATTAGGCGTTATTTGTTTTTACTTTTAATTTCTAGGTAGGTGAAGGCATTATTTGCTCTCTCAATCAATAAATAGACTTTTATTTTTAATAACTGCTCAAGTAATTGTAATTTTAACCCCTCTTTTTCGTGGAGAGGCTGATTGTCATCACTCAAACCTTCGCCACTGGGCTGGGGGTGGATAACACTTGCCAACATTAGGTTACGACGACCAAGTGCATTGCTCAAGCCGAATTTCTATTTCAGACAATGTTCTCTGTTCATTTCATCTTCTTGAAGTTACATGTACCTGCTTTCTATGTGATTCCAACATTAGTGATATATTTTATTGATGTTGTTTGCAGGCCCTTTGAACTTTTGGAGCGGTTTCGAATGCATGAATTTTCTGAAGGAACCTTGCATCCATTTGAATGCACACAAAGTTAATTGCATCCTTATCAATTGCATAGGTAACTAATAAGCTAATTACAAACTGTTTTCTGTTATATTATTTTGTTTTATGAAAAATACCTTTCTTTTTTCTTTTTCTCCTCAGAAAGAGGCCATCTAGTGGGACTCAAAATGTGTCTTCAATTTGTGATGAAGAGTTCCATGCTAGGTTCATATCTCAATTTCCATGACCAACCCAATTTCAAATGATTATTTATGTGAACACTTGTTACCTTTGTGAGAATGGGATGTTTGGGTGACCATTTGTAAGTTACATTAACTAATATATAATTCTAGGAGTGACTAATATAATACAATTACCTGAGCAGTTATTACATAGGAGAAACAATTAAGGTAGTGTTTGGTTCATTTAAATTTTTAGTTATGTAAATTAAATAAAATCAATCATGTTGGTCCAACCCAAGAATTGCAGGATCCCAAACATTGGCATTATGATATAGGGCATATACCAAAAGTGTTCGATTTCAATCAATCATAAATCAGAAAAAGAAAATTGCATGATTCCTAAGATAGGCACTATGGTATAGGGCATATAACAAAGGAGTTTCCATTTTAATTGAGTCACAAAAAAATAAAAAATAAAAAGAAAAAGCAGAAATGCAGAGTTTGATTCTCTAAACAACCCAAGGATAGTTGTCACGACCCGAACCCGCCCCCTATGGGTTAAGGGCGTAACCGGCCAGTAATCCTGAGATTACCTACGGCCTCGAATTAAAATAGACATAACCCAACAGAGTAAAGGGGGCCGAACGGAAGCAATAATCAAAAACTTTGTCCATAGAGCCGTGCTTATATGCATTTCACGACAAACCATACTCATATACGTTAATAACCCACGTCAAAAGTACAGCACCATAAAATTCTTTTCAAACAGGATCATCCAACTAAGTCAACCCATGGTAGGCTATTTACAAATATACATAAAGTCCTTGCTAGCAAGACAAAATATAGTTACACAACAAAGTGGCAAGGATAGGTCTCGTGCGTGAGACACAAGGCTGACTCTCCAAAACTCATGTTGTTCCTGGCAGACTTCACTGGAGCTGGGTTTGGACTTCTCTTGGCTCACCTCCAAACACATGAATGAGCGTGAGCAACAGCCCAGTGAATAATATCAAATACAGAAATTACATAACAATGTAGAACAACATGTTCCAAACGGCCTTGGGCCCAATTCACATTTCTACTTAACATATATATATATATACCTATACGAAATTTAGATTAAGTGACTGTAGTTCCAACATACTGGCCTTTGGCCCATTCAGGTTTCTATTCCTGTCAAAACGGCCTTCGACCCACTCATTTATGTCAAAACGGCCTTCAGCCCATTCATTTCCGTCAAAATGGCCTTTGGCCCATTCATTTCTGTCAAAATGGCCTTTGGCCCATTCATTTACGTCAAAACGGCCTTTGGCCCGTACATTCGTGTCAAAACAGCCTTTGGCCTACTCATTCATGTCAGAACGACCTTCGGTCCATTCATATTGGTCAAAACGACATTCGGTCCGTTCATTTATATCAAAACGACTTTCGATCCATTCATTTACACCAAAATGACCTTCGGTCCATTCATTTACATCAAAACGACCTTCAGTCCATTCATTCATTCATGTCAGACTTTTTCCACAATCCCAATTAACAATTCATAAAGTCTATAAGGGAATAAACAATTGGACATTGACAAGCTTTCAAATATTGATATTACTCATAGTGATCGGCTTGTGGATTTGCCCTGGAGCCTAACCCTACACATTTCATGAACACAAAAGGGTCACTAACAATTCAATCAGTTCCTTAATTCACATATTCCTCTTTAGGCTTTGTTCTTATCTCATTAACTCATTTACAATGCTTAACATATATCTAAGAGTGCTTACAAGTGAAAGAGAACGGAAAACGAATCACAGAATGCATGAACAAAATTTCAGAAAACAGGGTCCCTACTTGAGCGTGGACTTACCCGCTCGAGCGGACCCCTGAGGCCTGCAAAAGTACTGGATATGGGAAATTTACGCTCGAGCGTTCAATCCGGCGCTCGAGCATAAGGTCTCTTTACATGGCTCCCCGCTCGAGCGTAAGCCATGTCTACAAAAAGTTCTAGATGTATCATTTTTACGCTCGAGTGTGGCCTCAGACGCTCGAGCGGAAGTCCATCCTACGTAGCTCCCCGCTCGAGCGTGGACTTACCCGCTCGAGCGGACATCAAGGTCTGCAGGAAAAAAATACTGGGAGCACGTATTTCCCGCTGGAGCGGCCATTACCCCGCTCGAGCGGACTTCAAAATTCTAGAAAAACCCAGAATGTGTTCTTGAGCTCCAATTCGGTTTTCAAGCCACAATACTTGCTCGCAATGGCCCAAATCTCAATATAATCATATCAACATGGTACTAATGCAAGATTATAACATTATAGAGCTCAATTTCTTGATTTATCTACATGCATGTCCCAAATGTGTCAAACTCAACACCAACATAACAAACTCATGCATTCAAGCTCATATCTTCTCAAATTGTACATGCATGTGATGAATTAGCCACACTCTCAACTTAGGTAACACAAATGGTGATCAAGACATGAGTTTCCTTTAACATTTCACATGGATTATACACATTTGTGCTCAAACATATAATATCAAGGTGATTTCCTACATGCATGCACATAATAAGCTTCAATTCAACAAATACAACCCAATTTCATTTTAACCTTACTCTTGATCACCAAATTATCTTGAACACACAAAATAACAAACTATACTCCAAGAATTACTCACCTAGAAGCTTTGATCTCCTAAGCTCTAGTCAATTCTTGAGCTAAATCTCCAAGATTCCCAAGCTTTAGGCCAAATTGGCACAGTTCTCTCCTCTCTCACTCTAACAGCCGGCCTTGCCTCTCTCTAGAGAGTTGATTAGCCCAAATGAAGTTAAAGGAATGGAATTGAGTGTAACATGCCTATACATAAATCCCCACAATATAATAATAATAATAAAGTAATTTGGCATTATTCATCAATTTAATCGATTTAATCTAACCCGAATCAATTTCTAATTAAATTTCACCGTAGGCTCTAAAAATTATGCCAATCACGATGGCGTAATCAATTTCGAGTTCTGTGGCCGATAAGGCCCTTAATTTAATTTCCAAAACAGATTATTCAGACAGGTATCCCTACGGTGAACAGATAAGACTTCAAAATCACAAACATTCACATCATGGCACATAAAATCATGCTAAACACATAATCATATTTAAATTAAGGACCAATTAGCATATTACGGGACAGGGGTATCACAGTCTTCCCCCATTTAGGAAGTTTGGTCCTCCAAACTTAATTTACCTTCGTCGGGAAACAAATGTGGATAGCGTAGACGCATTTCTTCCTCTTTCTCCCATGTAGCATCTGTCCCATAGTGTTCCTTCCATTCCACTTTCACCATTGGAATGGATTTGTTTCTCAATTCTTTCACTTGTCGGTCAACAATTTTTTCCGGCCATTCAGCATATTCCATATTTTCATCAATAGCAACCCGGTGATAATCAATCACATGCAACGGGTCTCGGAGGTAACCCCTCAATATTGACACATGAAACACATTATGGATTTGCTCAAATCCCGGTGGCAAGGCAACTCTATTAGCAACTGGACCGAGTTTCTCCAAAATCTGGAACGGCCCAATGTAACAGGGCGACAATTTGCCCTTTTTCCCAAATCTGACTTGGCCTTTCATCGGGGAAATACGGATGAACACATGGTCCCCAACCTCACACTCAAGAGGTCTTCTTCGAATGTCTGCATAATTCTTTTGTCGGTCCTGAGCTATTTTGAGCCTTTGACGAATAGTCTTGATTTTCTCAGAAGTGTCTTGTACAATTTCTGGCCCAAGCAAAGCTCTATCCCCGACCTCTGTCCAACATATAGGTGATCTACACCTCCTACCATACAAAGCCTCGTATGGCGCCATACCAATGCTAGAGTGGAAGCTGTTATTATAAGCAAATTCTACAAGTGGCAAATAATCTTCCCAACTCCCTTGAAAATCCAAAGCACACATGCGAAGCATATCTTCCAAAGTCTGTATCGTTCGTTCTGACTGCCCATCTGTCTGTGGGTGGAATGCAGTACTGAACCTTAGTTCTGTTCCCATAGCTTCCTGCAAACTCTTCCACAATCTAGACACAAATTTCAGATCTCTATCCGATACAATAGATACTGGAATTCCGTGTAAACGGACAATCTCATCAACATAAATGGTAGCCAATCTATATGCAGTAAATGTAGTTTTGGCAGGCAGAAAATGTGCAGACTTAGTCAGTTTATCAACTACAACCCAAACAGAATCCATACCTCGAGGAGTCCGAGGTAGGCCAACAACGAAATCCATAGTCACATTTTCCCACTTCCATTCAAGAATAGGGAGAGGTTGAAGTAGGCCGCCTGGTTTCTGATGTTCAGCCTTAACTTGCTGACATTATAGGCACTTGGACACATATTCTGCAATCTCTTTCTTCATTTTGGGCCACCAATAGATTTGTTTCAAATCCCGATACATTTTATTGTTACCCGGATGCATAGCAAATATGGACCTGTGGGCTTCATCTAAAACCCTCTTCTTCAGTTCTGGGATATCTGGGACACATATCCGGTTTCAAAATTTCAACATTTCATTCTCAATACTGAATTCTGCTTTCGGGCTTGCCTCGAATTCGTCAATCACTTTCTTGAGGTACTCATCCTCTTTCTGTTTCCGTTGGATTTCATCAATGATCGTCGGCTCGGCTGTAATAGCGGCTATCAATCCGCCCCGTTCACCCATTACCACTTCAATTTTAGACTTCTCAAAATCTTCCAAGATCTCTCTCTGTTCAGTAAGCAAACAGGCCATACTCCCCATTAATTTCCTGCTCAAGGCATCAGCAACTGTATTAGCTTTCCCGGGGTGGTACTGAATTTCTAGGTCGTAATCTTTTATTAGTTCCAGCCACCTTCTCTGACGCATAT